TAATGACTTGTGTTCGTATTCAGACTATGCGCCTTGTGTTTTCTATAGATTGCACTTATTACCCGAAATGCTGGCCTTTTCCTTATCAGTGTACAGCACATAATAAGTGCTGGTGGGAGGGAGTCGTTTCAAGACTCTCCAAAGGGAGGGGGAGAGCAAAATTTTTGAAATCGTTCCAAACCGTGACGGTTGGCCCTACTCGGGGGCCCGGAAATGCCACATCTGTGATTGTCCTGTACGGATCTAACCACAAAGGTCTCTTCACACGACTCCTAAAGGGGGATGTGGCTTTGAACTTATGGCATGACATCGAAGGCAGACACCACCCAAGGCACCAAAAATGGCAATTTGTTGACTTTCACCGAACCCGCTACAATCTATGCTATTGGGTCTGCAATTGCGACAGAATTTACTGAGGGAAATAGACTGTAAATGGTAGCTGAGCTCTCAAAGCATGATGATATCTGCACTAGAATATCTAAACCATCGAGATACACACAGTCGATAGTTCACTAATCCATTTCGCTAAAGTGGCACTTGTATCACCACAAATTGAGTAGCTGCTACCCTGGCGAATCTCAGTAAGTGCGCTCCAGCAACAACGTGCAGGAAACGGTAGTCTGCTCTTTGGTTTTGGCCTTTCGTCTTTTCATTGTTCGTTTAGAGTACGTTCCATAGTTTGCAATATTTCGTCCGTTTTCTAGTGTTTTAGTCTTCTTCCATGAAGTTAGGGATCATGATTTCGTTGTACGTGTACTTCCTAGGCAACAGTTGTGAAAAATAGTGCTTCTTTTGATTGGCTGTCTTCGTCGAGGTGTAACTCCACATGCTGTAACTAGGATTTTTCTATTATTATGGGATCATTCTATGATTTATGAGCAATGAATTATTAGCACGTTGTGTTGCTGAAGTGTATGTCGGTAGCAGAGATCATCATCCCACTAGACGAAGTCCTACACATTTGAAACAACTAACATCCTCGCCACATAATTTTTCGAGATTGCCTTCAAGAGCCATTTTATTTCACACAAAGTTGCGCCTTCTTGTCTTCTTTTCATTCTCCTCCATTTTCCTTCTCAGCTTGCTCCCGATCGATAGCTTCCCTTTGCAAGCGCACTGGTGCTCTATGCGTATACTCAGAAGAAGGGTCGGGTTCCGTGATTGTTATCTTTTTTCGAGGAGTGCGTCCTCGTAAAGCAAGCTTTATGTGGCATCATCAAAAATCTCGGAATAAGTGCAGTTTAAAAGTTTGGAAAGTAACTGCCATGTAGGTACACTCTGTGAGGACGTTCTCTAGGTCCACTTTTCTCTTTGTTTTTTTTCGCATTTCTACATAGTCGATTTTTCGTGAGCTCTTTCTTAGAGTTGTATGTTTACATGTGCTGCACCCTGCATACTATTTATTAACCCATTTTCGCCTCATCCGCCCAAGTGAATACCTACAAGTGTCATTTTAGCAATGGCACGGTGGAGCGGTAAAGGGTGAGAGCAATCACTTCGCACAGACAGCGACGCATCGAAATATAAATACTCGAGCACGCACTCGAGTGCTCAATGCTGCTTTGATGTGGGCAACTAGACCATCCTGCTTGAAGATATCGATTTTCTCTTCGTAGTAGACAAAAAATGAAACAGAAAGTGATTCCGGATCTATCACCCCAAATGGCTCTTAAGGCCTATGCGCTTACTTGAGAGATGTAGCGATACGTTCTTGGTGTAGCAGACTGTTTGAGACACGGATAGGTGTTGCAACTATTTTTATTGCATTTCTTGCTTTCTCATGTTTAATGTTCGTCTATTTACACATGTATTTAGTTTATAAGACCGTGACGGGTGTGAATGGACCTCTGGTCATCCTCAACGATGTCAAGTTCCCGCAATTCAACGAAATTGTGCACATAACACTGCCCGATGGATCTAAGCGGTCTGGACAAGTTCTCGAAATAACACGAAACAAAGCTGTTGTGCAGGTATTTCCATAACCAGTGATATGGAACTTTTTTTCTGTTTATATTCGTAGGGTTATTTTATTTTCAATGTGCTCACGAAGCCTCTATGGGTTTCGGATCATTTCCCATTTTGTCGTTTTCACGCAGTATTTGGCGAGTTATTCAGCGCGGAGAAATACTGAAAAGGGGAATATCCTGTTTGTGTTGGGGGGAGAGAGATAGAACCAATCACAGTTTTGAGCGTTTTGTTGTAAGATGTTTTACAGACTGGGGACTTCTTTAAGGATAGTATTTCATTGGAAGAAACTTATTTTACCTATTGCTCATCCCTACTAAATTTTATCTTGTCCCCCCTCCCCCTTAACTGCAGTCAGTTTCGAATATGCTCAGCTTTCCATTGGGACTACAGCTCAACATTGTGTTACGGAGAGAACAGGCTGTGCGTATTGGTACTAATCATAATTGTTCCGAGAACCCTACATATAGAGTAACTTTCGTAACCTCAGAAATTCCACGGCGGCTTGACATTATGTCGAATCTTTTAGTTAGTAGTCGGGTTTATTTCTGTTCTTATGGCACGATTACTGAAAAATAGTGACACATATACTCGATATCGGTGAGTTGGGGTGGGCGTGTCACCGGAAGTGACGTGCACTTGATAGAAACTATGTGGATAAGCTGCTTCCAACATACATCGCTGGATATCAGCAAAGCATGCTGGCAACAGCTTATCCACGCAACTTCTATCAAGTGCACGTCACTTCCGGTGACACACCCACCCCAACTTTCGGATATCGACTGTAATAATAACTTTTGCAGAAATCTGTGGAGTCGCCTTTTTCCATTTACTATTCAGAGGTTTTCTGCGAAAATGGGTGTGTAAAAAGGAAAATTCGTAGAAATATCTATCGGCGATGTCTCTAATATTTATTGAACTACATTTTAAATTCTGCCTTTCTCTATGCTCGCTCTACAACTAACCCTACCGCTGAAGGCCCAATTTTGTGTTCACCGTTCATGAGGGACATACTAAGCATGTTCGTAACTTTTGGAAAAGAACCAAACGAAATTCAAAGAAATGTGATTCATCGAGTAAAGGTCATTAGTGGTAATAATGGTGCATTCCATGTGCGTGACGCAAAAATCATCTCATTGCTATTGTTCTGCTTTTAGGTCTTCGAGGGGACATCCGGTATTGATGCCAAGAACACAATCTGCGAATTCACAGGCGATATTCTACGATCACCCGTGTCCGAGGATATGCTTGGTCGTATTTTCAACGGCTCCGGGAAGCCTATTGACAAGGTCTTTCTTCTTCGTTCCTGTTTTCTTCTTAGAACAAATTTCGGAACAATTAACTCGGTCCATTTTATTTCGGTTTTTTTAAGACGTTCCCATAAGATCAGTCTGATTGGAAGCTTTTTTCCTGGATGTCTTTCAGAGCGAGGTTCAATAAGTAGCCCCAACATATTGGTTTTGGGTACAGCCTGATAGGTAGTCTGGATTGAGCAAGGCGTACTGTGGTGCTCCGTTTGTGTGCGAATTGCTTATCGTTTCTGTCAACTGATGGGCTAATGCTATTCACACGTCTATAGATATGCTAATTCGCATGAGCAAATGTTGTAGATTCTTTGCATCTACACTCAAATTTTCTTGTTGTTCTGCATGATCTTCCAAATGCAGTGAAAAGTGGAGGTGTTTTGAGAGAAGCCATAGGACAAGTGAGCTTAGCTGAAGAAACTCGTCATTGCTTGGCGAATTTTCACACACCTTTTCAAAGATCTCCGAGGGAGGTAGAAGCGACTTTTTTCGGATCTGGAAACAAATGCGAAACAAATTCTCAATTATTCCACCGCTCTGGGATGCATCAATCGTGTATAAAATTTTGCAAGTTCGCGAATCATTTTTCCCATCGTTGATTTCGAATTCATTGGCGATGGCGATTCAGGGACCACCTGTGCTTGCTGAGGACTTCCTCGACATTAACGGCCAGCCGATCAATCCATGGTCGCGTATTTACCCTGAAGAAATGATTCAAACTGGGATCTCTGCAATTGACGTCATGAACTCAATTGCTCGTGGACAGGTGATTTTGCTCGTTTTTTTACAGTTTTTTTTTGCCTGAAGAGGTGAACTTTTTTTTACTTCTCACTCCAGGAATGAGGCGGGCGTTAAAGCTTAAAGAGGTCACTGCTTAGCAAACTTTAACACGTTACCGCGCAGTTTACTATGGTTTGTTTACTTCGACCGTTTCAGAAAATTCCTATTTTCTCTGCAGCTGGTTTGCCACACAATGAGATTGCTGCACAAATTGTGCGTCAAGGAGGTACGCTTTCTTCTTTCCTGTTACATGCTATCACAAGAGGTCACATTCTTTCCAGGCTTGGTGCAGCTTCCTGAACGCAAGCACGATGCCTCGGATTCTAATTTCGCTATTGTTTTCGCCGCTATGGGAGTTAACATGGAGACTGCTCGATTCTTCAAGCAAGATTTCGAAGAAAATGGTGTGTGGATTTTTATTTCGTATGGCTGGCTCTTTTAGTGTCATTTCTGCAGGATCGATGGAAAATGTATGCTTGTTCTTGAACTTGGCGAACGATCCAACAATTGAGCGTATCATTACTCCACGTCTGGCTTTAACGGCTGCTGAGTTCTTCGCATATCAGTGTGAAAAGCACGTGCTTGTGGTGCTTACTGACATGTCTTCTTACGCCGAAGCGCTTCGTGAGGTACGCTTAAGGAATTTATTCATACAGCCGAAGTTTTCCAATCTTTAGATCCTGCCATAGGCGAAAGCGTTACTGGGGATGACGTCGATTTACTAGATTTATTTTGAAACCAGCTCTTTTGTTATCGTGGTTTCAACTAGCACTTAGGTCTTTTAAACTATCTTGCTCTTCGAATCTAAAGCTGGAGTCATCAGTTTGAAGAGGATCGATAATATAGAGGAGGTGTGGTAAACAGTACAATGCTGACATATCGCTTGTAGGTGTCTGCTGCCCGTGAAGAAGTACCTGGTCGTCGTGGTTTCCCAGGATACATGTACACTGATTTGGCTACAATTTACGAACGTGCGGGTCGTGTTGAAGGCCGCGACGGCTCTATCACTCAAATTCCCATTCTAACTATGCCAAACGATGGTACGATTTGTACACTGGAAGTTCTTTTTCCGATCTTTTTTGCTTAATGTGTTATTTATAGATATTACTCACCCTATTCCCGATCTTACTGGTTACATTACTGAAGGCCAAATTTATGTCGACCGTCAGCTGCACAACAGACAGGTTGATAGTCTATTTTGCTTCTGTTTCACATGATGACTAGAAAAACTTCTCAAGATTTACCCACCAATCAATGTGCTTCCGTCACTTTCTCGTTTGATGAAATCTGCTATTGGTGAAGGAATGACTCGTGAAGACCATTCTGATGTTTCCAATCAGGTCCCGTTTTTCTTACTAGTCTTCAATGTGTCCTTCCCGAGTTTGTTATGCGATATTATTTTCAGTTATATGCTTGTTATGCAATTGGCAAAGACGTTCAAGCTATGAAGGCTGTAGTAGGAGAGGAAGCTTTATCTTCCGATGATCTTTTGTACCTTGAATTCTTAGTGAAATTCGAAAAGAACTTCATTACTCAAGGTTAGTTTGGCATCGCTGTTCCTGCAAACGCATACTCACCATGGCCCTTCTTTAGGAAACTATGAGAATCGAACTGTTTTCGAATCGCTTGACATCGGATGGCAACTTCTTCGTATTTTCCCCAGGGAAATGTTGAAGCGAATTCCAGAAAGCACTCTTGAGAAGTATTATCCTAGAGGAGGAGCGAAGACGGATTGAATCTTGTCATTTTTCTGAATGATACCTTGTAGCACATTGTCCAGAGTACTTAATGTTGTCCAATAAGCTCGACTGTTCATCTTACGAATTAAGCTTGACGTGATCGAGCTTGCTATGTTTTATTACCAGTAGCATCAAGAGAGTGATTGTGTACAATATAGAGTGATATTCGCATGCTATAGTTTTGTGATATTTAAAAACATTCCGTTCCTTTCTTTAAAGGATCGTTGTCGTCTCGTTACGAATTTAACAAAGATTAAACAGTGCTCGTTGTTAACATTTACTTACTTGCCTTTCAAGTATGACCACGGCACAATTTCTGTGAAAGAAGTAAGCTGCTGTAGGGTCATAGTGCTAATGGATTGACCGCGTACAATCTTTCTAATGATCCGCATCGAGTGAATGAAGAAACAAAACTGCAAAGTATATGGGAGGTGGGAAATATTTGACATCTTCAGAGAAACACATTTTTATAGTTTTGGGACGGAGTTTTTGACGATGTCAATATGAAGCTTGTTCATTGACACTGAACACCGTCGATCGCTCGGCGTGAGCAGGAGGGAGGGGAGCTGTGTGGGAATCCCAGAAAATGAAACTTCCAGCGTTTAAATTATCCCAACGAAATGTTCATCTGGATTGGTCGAAACAGGATTGCTAAAGGGATGGCTTTCAACTTCTCGTAGGACTTGGAATAGACAACTGGGTTATTCGGTATAACCAAGTATCCTAGTTACAAAAAAAAAACTAAAGCTCTGCATGGATTTCCTGAGCACGTTGTGAGCGATGAAATTTAGCACGAACGCAGCGCATCATTGAATTTTGTCTCAACTCTACACTCTGTTTCATGCAGCCAGAAATCCACGTGGCACACGTGGCTAAATTCTCGATGAAAAGGTGACATCACGTGTGCTCAAAGATGTTCTTGAATCGATGCCACGTTAATGCCACGTCAATTTCTGCAATTGCACAATTTCTGGTCATTTGAAGGCGAGGGTACTACAGTCGATATCTCGAAGTCTGATTGGGCGTGTCACCGGAAATGACGTGGCAGCCACCGCACTTGATAGATGTTGTGTGGATAAAATACTCCGCCAGTCATCAGCAAAGCGTGTTGGAAGCAGCTTATCCGCGCAACTTCTATCAAGTGCGGTGGCTGCCACGTCATTTCCGGTGACACGCCCAATCAGACTTCGAGATATCGACTGTATAGTCTCAATAGGTGGCCAGATCGCGAATATGACATTTATTATACTGGGTTGTCCCATAATTCCTGGCCGATTTTGGTTCAAATTCAATTTTCTTCATGTCAAATTAGCTTCATAATGAAATAAGTTGATATAGAAGAACACATCAGGACCTTCAGCCAGGATGTTTCAGAAGCTCAAATGCGCAACGGGATTTTACGTAGGAATCAAAAGATCAACGACCAAGCCCAACGATTCCCCCCTCACCTTGCAAGGTTCTTTTAAAATTGTCATAAAGCCCTATGCCTTATGACAATTTTGAAAGAACCTTGCAAGGAGCGCGGTAGGCAAGATCAGCGCTACGTTTGCCCCAGTCTTTGCTACTGATCGGGCACTGAGCTATTGGCTCAATAGCATCGGCAAAGGCGATAGGAGCTGCAAAGTTCGACCTCATCATGGACCTCCAGTCACTTTCGATGAGGACCCTTGCGCTATGAATCAGGAGGTGCATCCGGGCGCTATTACCAGAAAACCGTAGCAAACATCTGGAAACATCAGGATCGGCTACGCTCTATGAATCGCTACCTGAATGGAGAGGCTGTAGCAGAATGAAGTCTTGATGGAAACAGCATGCATCGGCTGACCATGACCGAGAAGCACGCCTGACCATCTGCAGAAGTTTCATTCTGCGACCGCATAGCCAGAACATTTCCTAGTTGGTCACCAGCAGGGTGAATATCGGTCGAGGATAATCCTCGATAGGAGGGGTCGTATTTGTCAGGGTGGGTCATGGGGGGTCGTACTCATTGGGGTCAGTAACGTCAGATAGGAGAGAGAGGGTGTAGCGCAGCAGAAAACAAGGATATGTGAGAAAACATGAGATAAAATATTCTTTGCAGGTCCAGTCGCTCCATTCCTTTACCTTTATGAGAAGGACGTATTTGAAAGCAGTACAAGGAATGAAAGTGCATCTCCGCAATGTGTACACGTGCTGTAGTGGCACCTCCTTTATCTGTGCTCTGGGCCATTGGCCACTAAACCGCATCAACCCTCTAAATTGGGGCGTAACGTAGCCTTTAACCAGTAAACAACCCTTATTTATTAGAACATGTATACATATGTATATAATACAGGAGAACCGACGGTAATAAATAATGAAAAAAAGTAACTGCGCTGCTGTACTTTTTCCAAAACTTTTTCTTCTTCTTCGCCCACACGAACAACCAAAGGAGAGCATGAGATCTAGCTTGGCCATTCCGTATATGAAAGTTCAGGGTTCTAGCTCACAGACAGCTACTCATCGAAGTAGACTTCAGTGAAATAAATAACAAGAAGTTGTAGTGAATAACTACAGAAGTGAGATACTGGATACAGTACAAAGACACCGGAACTCGTGTAAAGCAATAGTTAAAGGACATTCATAGTTTATGGTGGGTGACCGATTTCTTCACTTCACCAGCTGAGACATTGATACAAAAGTAACAAGAGCTAGGAAACCAACGGATAGAGTGACACAAGGACATAATCGCGAAATTTTTTGCAGCCGGTGATGTCGAGTAAAGAGGAACCTGAGGTAGGAATTGGCACAGTACCAGACGTGTCCGAGTCTCCCAGTGGTGTCAGGTCGAAATGGAATGAAGCGTGATGGATTACCTAAATTACAATAAGTAGCTGTGCAATGAAAATGATCAACAGTGCTCCTATGTTTCTAGAGATTCCTGAATTTGCGGCAATAATCCAAGACCTGAGGCGAGAGCTCGATTTGCGTTTTCTGTTCTCCATACCTAATCAATAGCTCATCATTTCAT